GAGAGAGAGAGAGAGAGAGAGAGAGAGCGAGAGAGAGAGAGAGCGAGAGAGAGAGAGAAAGAGGGAGAGGGAGGGGGAGAGGGAGAGAGAGAGATCAAATCCACAACAATCTTTCATTTAGCTATGAGACTCCCAAAGTCAGGTAAATAACACCAGTAAAACCCTGACTGCTAGAAATGATGTTAAAAGACAATGTGGCACCTCCTCAAAGACCTCCCGTACAGCAGCTCCACATGGCTCCTCCTCCGGCTCCATCCCTCCTCCAGGAACAATCCACTGATCCGGGTTTCGACTGCTGCTGACCAACAGCACCTGCAGAAACCAGCACAGAACTGATTCAGTCAACTTTTCACCATAGCCTGTATGAATAGCAGTGGTTATAGCACAGGATTATTGTGATTTATTGGTGGTTTGTTACAAATACTTCATCAAAACACACCAATCATTTATTGAGATTAATGAAAATTATTTTGATGCAATTTCGTGATCTAAAGGGTTGCACACAAGCCTACTGTATTTGTACTTGTATTTGTAATACTTTAGAGTCTGGCTCAGTGTTGTTTAATATGCATATTAATATAATATCAAAATTAATATTTTGGATTAGTTCTTATTTTTATATATATATTTTTTATAAATATATTAAATGTATTATCATTTTTATTTTAGTTTTAGTAATTTTGTTGTGTCACTTATTCTTTTTTTTCAATGTCTATATAGTTTATTTTTTTAATTTAAATGTATTAATTTAGTTATTTTAATACATTAAAGGGGTCATATGATGCGATTTCAAGTTTTCCTTTCTCTTTGGAGTGTTACAAGCTGATTGTGCATAGATAAGATCCCTGAAGTTGCAAAGACTAAAGTCTCAAAACCAAAGAGATATACTTTATCAAAGTTAAGACTGGTTGGCTACCAGCAACAGTTTGGTTACACACATCCTTCAAAATATCGTATTTGTGTTTAACAGAGGGAAGACATTCATACAGGGCGAACAATTTTTGGGTGAACTTTCCCTTTAAGAGTTTTTTGTTTATGATGTAGAAAGATAAGCTTGCACATGAGTTGATGTTTTCTTAATTTATGCTTACAAGAAAGTACAATAATTCTTATGAAATGCAAAAAGAAATTTCTCAAATGAAAACAATCATGATTATTAATTTGACCATTATTGAGCAACATTAATCTGTACTCTATAAAGTGCTATTGACTCTTTAGACACCTGTAGCATTTTAGTCATGCATTTTTAACAACAGTAAGCGTTTGTATGAGACAAATCACTAGGATGATGTTTAAATTCTGCTAACACGCTCTCGGTCTCGCCGTTGCTGATTGCCGCTGTGGCGAGAGAACGAGTCTATGAAGTGCGCTGAATGGGAGGGATTTTGACTCAAGCGATCGCTGATCCTCTGTCCCCTGCTCACCCTCTTTCACTCCGACACAAAGGGCAGCCATTTCAAATGAGTTCCCCCTCACTTACACAGACATGCACTGACTGTGGATCAGTCTGGAGTTGGCATGCAGTGCCAGGACTGTTTGTGGAGATGCTCTGAGATCAGCAGGCATACAGAGTGGATATGAAGCAACCCCAGATTTACATCAGCAATCCCACACGACAGCTCCAACAACTCAGATTCTTCTCTTTGGTTACTTGGATACAAGGAAGTGACAGAATGAAGGATTATCAGAAAAGCAGAAACCTCTGAAAATGGCCACTTAAAAGGAATCAACTTTCACCCAAAAATGAAAATTTGCTGAAAATGTCCTCACCTTCAGGGCATCCAAGATGTAGTTGAGTTTGTTTCTTCATCAGATTTAGAGAAATGTAGCATTCCATCACTTGCTCACCAATAGATCCTCTGCAGTGAATGGGTGCCGTCAGAATGAGACTCCAAAAAGCTGATAAAAACATCACAATAATCCACATCACTCCAGTCTATCAATTAATGTCTTATAAAGCGAAAAGCAGTGTGTTTGTAAGAAACAAGTCCGTCATTAAGGCGTTTAACTTCGAAACATCACTTCTGGCCAAAAAAATTAGTCCATAATTTATAACAATGCTTCCACCAGTGACAAAGTCCATCTCCTATTGCCTCTCACCTCAAAATCCACCCACATATTTGTTCAGAACTGTTTTGGGTTGTAAACTGTGCTTGATGCATATTTCTCTCCTGATTCGGACCAGATGACTTTTTCACTGGACTCATATTTTAGCCAGAAGCAACGGTTTGATGTTAAATCGTCTTAATGATGGATTTGTTTCTTACAAACACGCAGTTTTTGGATTCACATGATGTTGTTAACTGATGGACTGGAGATGTTTGGATTATTGTGATGTTTTTATCAGCTGTTTGGACTCTCATATTGATGGCACCTATTCACTGCAGAGGATCCATTGCTGAGCAAGTGATGGAATGCTACATTTCTCTAAATCTGTTACCATGAAGAAGCAAACTCATCTGTATCTCCAACGGTCAACAAATTTTCAGAAATTTTCATTTTTGGATGAACTATTCCTTTAAGCACAAAATTCACTAGTGTGCATCAACGCTTACATATATTCAAGTTTATGATGCAATTAATTATTTACAAGATGCACTCAAGGCTTAACTGGTCACCCACAAGATGATTGCACTCTTTTATCGTCTCTATTCATATTAATCACACATTAAACACAAAAACTCATAAAAAGCAGCTCTCTTTGGGGTTGATACAAGATATTCAGCAACAAACCTTTACAACAAGAAAATCAAAAAATGAGTTAATATTGCAACTGTTTTTTTTTCCAAAAGGTGTCACTGGTGCCATTCAATCTTATGTCTTTTTATGACAGTTCTTTGTCAGAGGTGGATGAACCTGGTGCAGCTGTATACTGTACATGCATAAACAGAGGGAGATTCAGAGAGCTGCAGTCTGACGTGCTTTTATTGCATAACTGTACTACGGAGGCCCAGTGACCGACAGTCTAAAGTGCCTTTAAGTCATGATGGGTGACAGGAGACGAACATGTGTGCAATGACAAGATAGATATATAGATAGATAGAGTTTTCTAATGGGTTATTATGCAGTAGAAACAGGTTTACTTGACTAATGAGGATCAGTGGGATTTTGGCCAGGGCAAGGTTGTGTGACAGAGATTACAGCCCTGGATGAGAATTAAATGAACAGATGTGCTCTAGATTACACTGTGCAGTGATCTGAGCAGTGCATGCTGCAAAAACCTCACTTTCTAAGAACACTTAACAATGATAAACTGATCTCAGATTTTTTCCCAGCACTCCAGATGTAAACAATACATTGTCTGGTGTCTCTCTATAGTGCATTATTTGTTTTGTGTATGTATTGTATGCTGATGGACTGCAAATTTCTAATTCATATCTTCAATCTATGCATCTACGTATCCATCCATGATGAAACAGCACTGATGTACTAGATGTACTAGATGACATTACATGACAGCATACTAGCACCTGATTGATAGCTCTTATATATGCAATATTAACATATTTACTCAATATCTGTATGCTCACATATATTCTGTCTGGGCCACAGGTGAAAGTGTCAGTGCGTGTTGATACACCGATTTATCACCCGAGCATCATGTCTGGTTTAGATAACGAGGTTAATATCTCCGTACCTCATCCTCCCGTTCGTTCTTGAAGCACAGACACGCCGCCCGCCGCTTGAATCCTTCCCGGTCGTACGTCCGCGTCTGGTTCGGTTTGAACTTCATGCTGAAATCCTGTCGCTCCTTCCGTAGATTTATCCGACCGGTCAGCAATGCTCCGTGAACGGCCCGAGCTCCGTGAGTCACCACCGACGGCGAGAAGCAGACCAATACCGGGCTGGACCGAGCCTACGGGTTTGCGTTGGTTTTAAATCCAATTTAAATCATTCCTCCGCGTTTAGTCCAGCAAATTCGATTCTCTAACGACAACTCTGCATTCCGCTGTCCATTCCCAGGTCAAAATATCTAATTTACCCCGGTATATATATACGTGTGTGGTGGGCCGGGTGCGAAATTACTAACGCTAGTATGTTGACGGCTTGGTACTTAATATTCATGAGATAAACCGTCAGCATTGGAAGGTTACCGGGCAACGTCAGCATATATTAATCAACAGCGTTCACCATTGGAAGGCAACTCCTCGGCGTCATCACACACTAATTAATATGCATAAGCGACACCTTGGCCGTAGTAGGATTTGTAATTACCGGCCGCAGCGCTCGAGACCTCCGTCAGGCGGATCCGTGAACTGCGCTCACACTCATCCGTTACCGCATTACTGCGTGGCCTCCTTTTTATTTTTATTTTTTTGCATTTAAACAGCTTTTTAATGAACAAAGGCAGGAACAGAACAAATAAAGAAAAGAGGATTAAAAAAACAAAAAAAAACACCAAAACAGGTATTAATCACAGTACATGAAAGATCACATCATATCTCTTAAAAAAATAAATACATTTTTTGTTATTAATTACTCTTAGTGATTTAATTAAATGTTCTACTTCACATAAGAAATCTATAAAAGTAGGTATTTCTTAAGAAACTTTTGTTTGTTAAAATAGAATTTTGCCACAAGGATAAGAAAGCTAACAGCAGATTCTAAAGATTTGTTTTGGTTTTCAAAAAAGCTAACATCCTTAATGTGTAAATTACAGTTCATATTAACTTTAGAAAAACAATAGGAACTCAAATCTTTCCAGAAAAGTGATGAAACATTACATAAATGACAAATATCTTCACTTTCTTTTTTACAGAAGGTGCATATATCAGCTACATCACAATATTTCGACACAACAGCGTTACAAGGGTATATATTATGCAAAATTTTTAAAATGCACTTCTTTCACTTTATTGGGACTGCGTGGCCTCCTGCCACATATACTGCAGGTAGTTATGACATAATTTGTTTTATCTTTTACTATTCACAACTATTTATATATTAACATTAATGTTAATAGGCCTATATAAATTAGTTTTTTAGACAAGACACGTACTTTGAGCATCAGATAATTCACAGTAGACACTATCCATAGACACACATCCGTTGATCACAAACAGAAATCAGTTCTGGCAAGATTCATCTAACAAGATTATGAATAAACGTTCTTCCAGTAACGTTAATAGAACGTTTGTTCAATGTTAGCTATCTGGTTTTTAACAACGTTCTCAAAACCTTTGAAAAACCATAATTATACATCGTTGCTATAGGCTAACGTTTATTCTGAAACGTTTAGTTGGATGTTTGACGAAGGTTTTTTTTTATGTTACTATTCAATTCTGGTTTCAGAACATTCTGAGAAAGTTCAAAAGTAACGTTCCTGAAATGTTTGCATAATGAAAAAAATTTAACGTTTCTTTAAGGTTTTCTCTAACATTTGCATAACCTAGAATAAATGTTTTAACAACGTAAAAATAAAAACGGGGAACGTTAACAAACCATTCTTAGAACATATTTTAGTTAGCTGATTATTTACGTGTGTTCTGACAAAATATGTAGATATGAATGAAAACTACATGAATGCAGAAAATAATGAATACTAAATAAATACTGTACACCGTTTCCATCCAGTTGCATATACAGCAGTGCATTAATGCATTTAATGTAAATTAAATCAAATTAAGTAATACCATTTGTACATTTTTCATTAATGTAGTGCTGTTAATGACAACCTGGAATGCTGGACTTTGGCATAGATACTGATCTGATTGAATTACGATGATGATATTGTTTAACTTTGACAACAAAAGAATCTGACAACATTTTTTCTGTTATCACTGTGCAAACATGATGAAGAAACAGTTTGGGAGAGACTTGTCATTAGCAGATTTGAGTGAAACTAGAGGCACTTTTAATGATAAACGCTCAGACTATTTTCAAGGTAGGTTTACTGGTAAAATCATTAGTGTAATTGGGCGTTTGACTCAAAACCAAATAGTTACTGGGATATAGACCTGTGACAACTTGCCCTATAATATATTATCACCATTAAAATTATAGAGAATAATTTTTCTTGGGTGGATTTAGTTACCTAAGACAGGGATCACTGCACATGCCTGCAGTCGTCATGTCTTTAATGAGTGAATTACAGACATCTGGTTAGTGAGGAATGCTCTCAAATCTGTTGCATTAGCTTAGTGCTAACATGTGTCATGCTGACATAGAATACCACCTCAACTCAACATGGGCCAAACTCATTAAGCACATTAATCAGCACAATGGAAATAACTGTTTGCCATGGGCTCAACAGATTTTGAGACAGAACAGAGAAGTGTGAATCTGTTCACGGCCTTTTGATTTTCTTTAAAAATTACAAACTTTGAAAGCTGAGAGTCCTGAGACCTTGTTTCATTCCAGAAATAACCTGCTCGGTCTCGTCTGTCGGCACATTGTCAGTTTCCTCTTTACTCTGCGATGTATTTTTTACTGCGTGAGAACATGAGTAGTGTGAGAGCGCCATTGTTTGTCGGAGATAGCAGAAGTAACTAAGGAGGGCGGGTCTATGTGAACGGTCAACTGCAAGATATAAACTCAGAATTCCAAAAAAGTGTCAAAATTGGAAGATGCAAACTCAGAATTCCGAGAAAAAAAAGCCAAAATTGTGAGTGGAATTTTGAGAAAAAAAGTCTGAATTCAGAATTGCGAGATAAAATACAACGCTACCTTTTAAAAATTCCATGGCAGTCACAAGCTACCATAACAATCAGATTCGAACCTGTAAAAACCCCTCAGAAATAAAGAGAACAAACCAAATAACATAACAAAAAATATTTTTACTAAAACTGAACATTTACAGATTTAATTTTCCCAGACAAGTCAAACAGTTTCCACTCCAGCCGAAACACAAACCTTTACACACACACTCACACAAGTTTTGTTTGTAATACAACAACGTCAGAGCAGGTTCTGTCAGATAGGCGATGATATAGACGGGTTCACCACATGCGTTTAATGAACTGAAGAGTTTCACAGGAAGGAAAAGGAAAAAAATTCACATCATTTTGTCCCTGACCGAGAAGCAGCATATATGCATCCCCCGTTTAACAGGCCCTCCCTCTACACCCCCTAACATAAAAATGAACTAACAAAAATGAACCATCCACCTGGAGCCTACAATCAGTTTGCAGTGAAATCCACTGCGCTAATGACTGTACTACACATTCTGACAGGGTCCTGTGTAGTGACCACGCAAGGGATGCTGGGAAACCCCAGGCCATTTCCTGGCCGAACCCAGAAGCAGAGAGATCATATAGTGGAGCGAACATTAGCTCTGACCAGGAACACACCGACACTCACCCAAAGGGCTGCAGTAGTTGCTTTTGAATCGTATTTTTTTTTCGCTTGCTGTTTTAATTTGTCTGAGAAAGTGTCCTTTAAATGCAAAAGAAGACCGGAGGAGACTGTTCCACTTCTCTCACGTGATGCCACCGTTTCCTTCTTCTAAACTTCAATGTTGTTGCCGGCATAAAGCCTGGTCCATGTTCGGGCTGTGAGAGAGAGAAAAACACCCTCCAGGACATTAATTAAGATCATATCGATTTAATTTGGGTGAATCTCAAAAAAACAGTCATAATACAGTAATGAGAATCAGAAAAACTGGAATTGCAAAAATGACAACAACAAAAAACAAACAAACAAACAAAAAAACATTGAAAGTAAAAAAATCTTAATGGTCCTACAATGGGTTTCATTATTTTTTCCCTTTTGATTACTGAGTGAACTGAGCTGAACCTGTTTTTTGTTTTGTTTTTTAGAAGCCAAATTTTTTTTAAAGTAATTGCAACTTTTTCTCTTGCAATTCTGGCTTTGTTTTTACAATTTTGAGAGATATAAACTGGAAGAAAAAAAAGATTGAATTGTGAGAAAATGTTGCAATTACCTTTATATATATTTTTAGAAATAAATATAATACGGTGGAAATAAAAGTCAGAAATGCAAGTTTAAAAATAAACAAATAAAATAAGTACAACTAAAAAAAAAATCTATTGTAAGGTGGAATGTTCTTAAAGCTTTTTTATTGGAGATTTTAAGTGATGATAAATGCATTACAGTTGGTTTAAATGTAATGTATCTTGCTTTTTGACTATGGTATTTATTTACCCATCATATAAATTAAGTTTAAGTTTTTTACTAACTAAAAATTAGTGCTGGGCAACGATTAATCGCATATAAAATAAAAGTTTGTTTGTACAAAATATATGTACTGTGTGTATTTATTATGTATATATAAATAAACAAATGAATGTATATATTTAAGAAAACTGTTATGTTTATATATTAAATATATTTATATATAAATTATGAATATAAATATAACTATTTTCTACATATATGCTGTATGTGTCTTTATAAATACATAATAAATATACACAGTACACACACATATATTATGTACACAAAAACTTTTATTTTGGATGCGATTAATCGTTACCCAGCACTATTAAAAACACATAAGGATGCTGAAATCTGAAGCTAGAAATGTTTGGAATAGGAACAGACATGAAATAAGTGAGAGATATTCTTCCTCGTCTTGGCAAAAGAAGCACAGTGGTGAAACGTCTCAGTTAAATATTTATTACATGGGTAATAACAATAAATAATAATTTCTTCCAAACAAGTACAATAAGACAACATCATAAACGTCTAGCTAGTGCTGATGAGAAGGTCTCACCTGTTTCAATGGCTTGAGCCTCGTTGCTCTTCCACTGTTCAGCGACATCATTAGCCAGCGGGTCATCAGGGTTCGGAGCGCTTAGCAGAGCCTGGATAGAGAGCAGCACTGTACGGATCTGAAGAGCCGGAGACCATTTATCTACAAGAGTGAAGAGACAGACATGTGACCATGAGCCCTATAAAGCCTACAGCAATTGTATTTGATACACGAAGGTCTCTAAATGATCAAAACTTTGCTGTTAAACCTGTTGCACACAATATACTACATGCCTTCTGTCGTCTGATTGGTCGTTTTTTAGCAAGTAAAAGCTCTTTTAGTATAACTGTACAAATGCCCACCTTCAGCTTCACGTGTCTTTTGGCTGACAAATCTTGACTGATTTTTATCACGCAAACGTCAGAATAACTGTAGTAATATTTCCAGATGAACACTTACTGGACTGAAGCAGCTCTGCTTTACTTGATTCTCCATCATTTATTTTTTAGAAAAATCAGTGCGTCTCAAATCTGATCCTCAGGATCTTTTGAGGAACGTTTGTTTCCAGAAGCTTTACTTTCACTGTTCCTCAGCGGAGGAATGATCTTCACAAGCCTCCAGAACATCTCACATCTTCTGAGGAGCCTTTATTTCTTCAGCTCTCAATCAGCACTGGATCGCATTGCATTATATGTTTTGATCATGTAAATATCATCTTAAGACATATTATTGGAGATACAGAGTGCTGACTGATCATTTTACGCAAGTATCTGCTGTACTGTAGATCTCGGTTATTTACATTACAAACATTAGAATTGTATAATTTTTGTCCATATAAATATCAGCATCTGCACCAGACTGTATTTTTTTTTGCTCAGTTTGAGTCGCTGAATAAAATTGAGCTGTTTTCCCTTCATATTCTCACTGCATCATATTATATGCACCATAAAATCCTTATAAATCCTTAAATCCTAAAGCACATATGCAAATTTAGATGAACTGCTCTATTAAAAAAAAATCTGACTATTATTTCATATGTCAGGCTTTACAAACACTATAATCACCTTTCAGGATGTCCAGACAGATCCTGCCCAGTTTGTCCACATTAGGATGGTAGATTTTGGTCATGAATCGGACCTTGGGAGCAGCCATGGGATACTCCTCTGGGAGGAACAGCTCCAGTTTGAACGTCCCGCCTTCAAAGGGCGAATCCTGCGGCCCAGAGATCACCACATGGAAATACCGAGCGTTTCCCTCATCAGGCTCCGCTCTGATTCCAGGCACAGGCTCGGCCAACAAGCGCTGCGTCTCCTGTCGAAACACACACGTGTGAAACACAACGCCAAAGTCATGGGTTCGAATGCATGAACTGATCACATGTAAACCCTGAATGCAATGCAAGTCGCTTCAGATAAAAAACATCTGCCAAATGCATGAATATAAATGTAATGATACTGATTAACTTTATTTGGTTTCAGTTGCATGAAAGCAAAATCCATTTAGAAAGTACCCGCAGCTGCATTGAATACTTTTGATAACGTTTGTCCATAAAACACTTTTAAAAATGTAGGGATGCACTTAGTAGCAAGCAAACTAAATATCCACAAGCAGAACGATGTCTAAGAAATAATCAGCACTTTTTGTAAACATACAATTCATGGAGATTCCTGTCATTTTATGTGACACCAATTATTTGATTTACACCAGTCTACTATTGTCAATAATAGACTGGTGTAAATCAAATAATTAGTGTTATAATCCATTAAAGATAAACCAACGCCAAAATGGCACGTGACTGTG